AAAAGAGAGTTTTCATTGTAACTTCTGCTGCCCTCCGCTGGTCTCTCTTGTAAAAGAGATTTTAATCCCAGTGAGACTTTTACGTGCATAAATAAAGCTTGTCCACATGCAGCCTCTGTGTCAGATCAATGCAGTGAAGCACACACACTGTTTAGTAAAGTCATGTTGTGGAGCTGTTTCACTGATCAATGACTGAGTCTGAAGGAGGTTTTCTGACTTCTGGAACAAACCTGGAAGTTTCTCTTCAGCTCTCTGTATCAGCTGTTTGTAACTCTCAACTCTTTCAGCTTCTGGAACAAGTTTGTGTGAGCCACAGTCAAGGAGCCACCAGAGGACACCTGCTGACCATCGGCATTATGGGTAGTGTAGGAGGAGACACTCACCTGACATGAAATAGTGCCGGAAATGAAATAAAAGACCTCCAGAAACCACAAGAAGAACCAGGAGAACCAGGAGAGCTTTGGCCCAGGATGGAAATGGTTCTGTGGAGAAACATAAAACAATATCAACATGACTGCTGAACACTGACCTCAATTTCCTCCACTAACACCTGGTGTTTTTCTACATCTCTGACCTTTGACCTGCAGCACTACTTTCTGTCTCAGGATGTCTTTGTCCCTGTAGATGGTGCAGATGTATCCTCCACTGTCTCTCTCTGTGGGGTATTTCAGGGTCAGACTGAGGTCTCCAGTTCTCAGCAGGTCTTCATTCATCTTCGTTCGGTCTCTGTAAAAGCTGTCCTGGTCATCCAGGTGGTTACTTTTGTTTGGATACACATGAACCACCATCAGTTCAGGGTCAGAGCGAGTCCACTCCACTCTGGTGTCCTGAGGCAGGTCAGTTGTAGTTTTGCAGGGCAGAATGACAGACTCTGAGCCTTCCTTCACCTCCACCTCCACCTGGTGGTCTGAGAGGACAATAAACCACAGTATCAGGTGTAGAAGCAGCAGCAGTCACACTGATGGTAACTGAAGCACGGCTGAGTATCTACACAGCAAATCTCTGGAGTTAAATATCCTGGAGTTTATTTTTCACCTTATACTACAGTCAGTGTTGGGGAGTACTCTAAGTGGTGTAATATTTAGGTGTTCATTCACTGGGTGCTAAGGACTCTAATTCAACACATTGCTGGTGTTGTTTGTCTGTCGACTGTTACCGCGCCTATCTGTGTTTCTTTCTTGGACTCCGACATGTAGGAGGTAAAAATACTTTATTTACTTTGGGATTTTCTGAGAGTGTAGTGATGTTATTTATATATATATTCAGTTACATGGATGCACAAGTAAAATATAAAGTTAACTAACTAGCACTACATGTGTTTTCTGTATGTTATGCTGATTTGGAGATAGCAGCTAGGCTAATGCTAGTCAAAAGGTTAGCTAACTAACTTATCTTACTGTATTTTAAGATACACATTTCACGTTGTCAATGAAAACGTTTATTTCTATTTCTTAATTTTAACACTAACGTTTAATTTAACGTTAGCTAACTACAGTAATATTCTGTTTAGACTCATGGTAATGGCCGTATTTAACCAACGAGAGGTGCAGCCTGCACTGATGAGATGTTGAGGTACCATTAACATCAGTTAGTTAGTCCTGCTGCACACTGAGACATGCACACAACCCTGTCTCCAGAACTGTAAAGACAAGGACACAGCAAACATGCGGTCACATTGTCTGCTAAACCAGCCTAGCTAAATAGCTTTTAAGCAATATTTAGTGTGGACAGGCTAGCTCAATGTAAGAAAGTGTTTATTGATTAAGTTATACACAGTTTACATAAAGTTACCATAAACAACCTCTTCTTCTTGTGTTGTGTTTCACATTAGTAAAGGTCTTTTTTTCCGTAGGTGGCCAAGATGTTGATAAAAGTAAAACACAGAGAGACAAAGAAATATGCAAAATTGGAAGAAGTCAGCTTCACAGATTTTGTGAGTGCAGGTAAGTTATGGTTTGTACTAAGTCATTAAAGAGGAAATGATAATGTTGTTATTAACTGAGTGATGATTTTACTTCAGTGCAGCAGAAGTTTCTCATACCAGAAAATGCAGCACTGAAAGTCACAGATGAGCAGGGTATAGAGGTGGATGAGGATGTCTTTCCTGAACTTGCAGCAGTCAAAGAGGTGTGTTTTGTCATCTATACAGCTGAAGGTAAGTAAATATATGCTCTGATAGATTTTGTAGGATTTGATTTGTACAGTTACTCTTAAATAAACATTTTTAATTTGTCTAATATCCTGTGGTAACAACAGTAAGTTGGATTTATCACATGCATTTCAGACATCCTGGAAACACAATCATCCAAGAAGCTGCGTGACTGCTCAGACCTAACACACTATGTGACACTCACACCTTGTGGTATGTAAATTGTATATTACCATAATAAAATACAAAATAACCATCTGTTCTCCTGGGAGAAAGTATAATTTAATCAAAGCATACAATTTACTGGCCCTATGTGCGTAAATGGTAGCTTTGTTGTGGTTGATTTTTGATTGTATATGCCTTATATTGTAATATTTTTGTTTGTCACCCTCAGATTTGACTGTCCTGAAGCAACATGTGGAAGAGCCCTCCTCTCCAAGTCTAACAGATACATTGTCTGTCTCAACCACCAGCAGTCAGAGCAGTGACACAAGTGATGCCGGACTTCAAATGGTTCAGCCTCTATTGGACAGCATACATGAAAGAAATGTAGATACAGTACTTAATTGACTTATACTTGACTCTTTTGTAGTTGCCATTGAAAAAGCTTAGTCAAAATCTCTACCGTTGTCCAGATTCATATTGTTTCTATCTATAGCCCTATAAGCGTAAAAACTATAATCTCTATCAAAAAAGGAAAGTTTGGAGTCTAACCTTAGAAGTAGAGAGTGTGTCAGGGATCTTTTGCTTTTACTCTTGAATGGTTTCATAAAATATTCACTGGATCTTTCTCTGGGACAGCCAGTCCACTGAAAAAGATGCTTTCTATTTAGTTTTTTACAAATGTCTCTCAAATGAGTAAATGCTTTGTTTGTGTATAATGAACTTACAGGAAAGTCTATCGAAACTATTTCAAGTGTTTCCGTCAGGCAGCAGCAGTCTGAGATGATGGTTGATAAATGTAACAGATAAAAACTTAAGCAGAACAATATCAAAATATAAACATCAGTCCTACAGTTTTATGCCATTAACTCTGCAGTCCCCTCGCTGTTACCTGAACCCCGCTATGATTTACACCACATATCCTAAAACAGCACGGTGGCACGGTGGTTAGCACTGTTGCCGCACAGCAAGAAGGTCCTGAGTTCAATTCCACCATCAGGCCGGGGTCTTTCTGTGTGGAGTTTGCATGTTCTCCCCGTGTTTGCGTGGGTTCCCTCCGGGTACTCCGGCTTCCTCCCACCGTCCAAAGACATGCAGCTTGTGGGGATAGGTTAATTGGATAATCCAAATTGTCACTAGGTGTGAATGTGGAATGTGAGTGTGAATGGTTGTCTGTCCCTGTGTGTTGGCCCTGCGACAGACTGGCGACCTGTCCAGGGTGTACCGCCTCTTCGCCCTATGACAGCTGGGATAGGCTCCAGCGCCCCCCGCGACCCTGAAAAGGATAAGCGGGAGCAAATGGATGGATGGATGGATCCTAAAACAGCAGTTATTAACCTGAGAGTCTCAGTGACATCGGGACCAGCTGGATGAAACATGATGAACCATCTCTGCTCTGTCTGTGTTTCATAGCAGCTCCTCCAGTCTGAGTCTGTACAACATCAGGACACTTCCTGCTGCTCAGTGAGCTGCAGTGAGGCTTAGAGAGCTCATGTTCTCCACTGTGTACAGTGTGTAAATGTTGTGAGTGTAACCCTGCACATGCAGTAAAGACTGCAGCTGTTGTAGCAGAGACATCCTGTTTGCACTGAGGTTAGCTCTGAGCTACATGTTGCTGCTGGTTTTTCAGGTTAGTCACAACAATTTACAAAACTTCAGTTTGACCTCTTACTCTGAGATGTCACATAGATAACAGGCTCCATGTGGAGTCTCTAACCCACCCAGAGTTCTGACTGACCTTTGACCTGCAGCTGTATATCTCTCAGTCTCAGTTCTTCTCTCTCACCGCTGATGGAGCAGGTGTAGTTGCCACTGGTTTTTTTTTTTTTTTTTTTTGTTTTTTTTTTTTTTGTTTTTTTTTTTTTTTTTTTTTTTTTTTTTTTTTGCTGGTTGGTCTTTGTTGGTTTTCTCAGAGTGAGGCTGAAGTCTCCAGTGTCCAGAGCATCAGACCTCATTGATGTGCGTCCGCTGTAATGCTGGTTTTGCCCTGTAAGATCGTCTCCTCCTTCTCGTCGTAGGTGGACAGATTTGGGATCAAGATCAGAGCGAGTCCACATCACTGTGGGGTCATCAGGTATAAAATCTGAGTACTGACAGGGAAGCAGGACAGATCTTTCCCCCTCATTCACCTCCACCACCACAGCCAGGGCATGCTGGGAAACTGAGGACACATAAACACAAATTAACTGCATGCAGTGGGTTTGTCTCAGAGCCCACATTTATCAGCAGGACACAGAGACCAGTTTTACAGTCAGACACTCAAATTGAATGCATTTATTTATTAAATCTGAACATTTAATCTGTGAACACCTGACAGATTAAACTGAGTGTGTCTGTGTTCATGAACCAGCCTCAGTTTGGTGCATTTTACTGAGTTTACAGAAAATGTTGGAAAATGTGACTCTTCCTGGTCTTTGCTTTATTTTCTAAGCACTTCCTTTAAACTCTGCTGTATCTTCATCTTTGTTAAATGTTTTGGAGGACCTGAAGGTTTTCTGCTCCCTCTGAAGAGTTCACTGTGACAGTCTGCCATCACGATGAGCTGTACTGAAACCTCATGTTCCCTTTGAACTGAACGTACTCTCATGATCCATCTCTCTGAGACAGACCAAACTAAACCACCAACTGGCAGAATGAGTCACATGAACACAGCCAACATGTTTTTCATCACAAATACAAAAAACTGCAGCTAACACAAACCATTTAAAAGTGAAAACACGGACTGGTGATAAATGAACTTAAAACCCAGAATGAAGCGTCTCAGTAAGGTGTTGGGATTCTGTGAGCCTCCAGATCAGCTTCACTGCTGCTCAGCATTGTTTCTGTGAGGAGGGATGAGCACTGTTCTTCTGAAATATTCTCTTATTCAGAGACAGATTTACTAAGAGGCGAAGGCTAAAAGGCTGCAACTGCAAAACTATCCCACCAGGAGCAGAAAGGTCTGTCAGTTATTTTATTTTAGTGTTTTGTTTCTGTTAATGCTTCCCCAGTATGTACTGTTCCCTTTAAAGCAGAGTACTGTGTGTGCTGTCAGGTGACTCCACACTGTCCAGTCTGTTGGTGTGCTCCAAAAATCCTGTTTTGCTCAGGATAATTCTTCACTGAGAGACGTGACCCGGTCATATCTGTATTGCAACCATAATTAAAGCGGTTCCAGTTCTCCAAATAAAAAGTGTCACAGCCATCTCATGTAATTGTGAGCGGGGCCTGGGTCTCTACAGTTTAGGTTACTCATGATATTACCTGCTCAGAACCCAAAATATGAACTATGTACATAAACCACAAGACAAGGATTTCATCTGAAATGCATCAGTTTGACTTTATTTCAGGACAAAATAAAGGAAATAAGTTAATTCAATTGGTTTTAGTGTTATTTTAATATGTACCACTGATGAAGGGGTATTCATTACTGTTCATTCACTACAATTTCTAATACCAAATAAAACTAGATAATTAAACACTATGGTGGGCCCACACTCACTCTCACCCATGCACACCTTAATTACAACAGTCTCTAATGATCTGAAAATAAAACCCTGGTTGCCTAAAACCAAATGGCCACTTCATTTGTAAACACACAATAAAATAAAAGGCACATGGAAATATCAGTACTCACGGCTTAGGATAGTTCAAAGAGACAGGCAGGAGAAAAGGGATCAAGAAATGCACATAAATACCCAGCATCCTGATCTCCAAAGATGGAAAACAGTTTAATTTTGAGCATATTTTGGTAAAACTATAGGTGGCAAAAGTACACACATTCTGTAGTTAAGTAGAAGTACAAATACTACTGTTAAAAAATACTGTATTTGTTGGATTATAAGGCGAACTGTCGATGAAGGGGTCTGTTTTCATACATAAGGCGGACTGGATTATAAGGTGCATTAAGCAAAACAAAACAGTCAGATAAGTCAAACTTTACTCAACTCATTCTTCTTGCTTCCTCCACTTCTGCACCATTACTCTATTCCCATGTTGTTGCAGTATATTAATGACTAACCTCGTATTGTGGATGGATTATCTCAGTTGTTCTCCTGACTGAAGTTTGGTCTGTTTACAGCATCCTGCCATGCGATTGCATTTGTCTCTAACCATCAGGAACCTTCACGTTAACTTTTATAAGTGGAAAAGTGTTAGTGTTCATCCTCCCTTCACTTTGTACTTAGCAAAGTCGTACTAAAACATTTTTTGACAGATTTTTGAGCTGTACCACAAAAAATCGGTTTGAGGTCAGTAAGCACAACCAGAATTCATACATAAGGTGCACCAGATTATATGGCGCACTATCAATTTTGGAGAAAATTAAAGGATTTTGAGTGCGCCTTGTAGTGTTGAAGTGCTGATTCAACTTCTTTACTCAAGTAAAAGTAAAAAAGTACAACCTCAAAGTTTTCAAAGTAAGAAAGTAAAAGTAACTCTTTGGAGGACATTTCTATACTTATATTTATATAGGCCTACATACCTGGGAGATGATCAACACCTGCTCTTCGCTGGATCGTTGCTTGACCTGTGTCAGTAAAATCCTGGCTAGGACACTGCAGTCTAGTTCCCGTGGTTTTGCTTCTTGTGTTAACACATGTGCACAGACTAAGGGTGGGATTTGATTATCGATTTATAGATCGATAATCAAATCGATTCTAGCTTGGATAACGTGATATCGATTCATTAAAATCCTGAATCGATTATTTATATATTTATTTTGCCTGAAATGCCAGAATCTCAGGTTAAACCTCACAAAATTTCAACAACCACCAAACAGCTAAAACAGTAAATGAGAGCAGGAACACGGATTCTGCACAAAGACGTAAACACAAAGCGCGGACCCGCCGACGATCAGAATCAGTGAGATGTCGCCTTTCTCACCCGACGGCACGGACACGTCGGGGCTGAAACCGAAGACGGAGTCCGTACATCCTGATCTTTCTGACTTGTTTTGGGTTTCACGTGCTCTCACTGGTCTGCTTGTGTTTTCTTCATTTACTAACGGTTTTTTGGTTCTGGCTGCTTCACTTTGAGACAAGTCAAATAAAGTGTTAATGTTTTGATATGTAGTGTATTTATACCTGAGAATTTCGGTCCAATTTTTTCGGGGCACATTAATCGTTATATTTATTTTTATTATTATTTTTATTATTCGTATGCAATAGTGTTATTTATAGTTTTAGATGGATTTATCCAACAATAAAGGTTCCTATAGCACTTTTACTTACGCACATAGAAGATTGTGCAGTTTTGACATTATCGCCATACTCACCTCACAACCATCCGAGATAATCCAGGTGGCTCCCAAACCAATACCACGAGACAGCACAAATACACAGTCTGTGCACATTGTTAACACAAGAAGCAAAAAAAACACAGGGATACTAAGTAAAAAAGCACAATACAAAAAAAAAAAAAAAAAAAAAAAAAAAAAAGG